AAAACAAAATGTCCCGTGCAGTTGCGTATACGAAGGCAAGCTCCCATGCTTGTGTATACAGCTCCTCTCTCTGCATGGAAGGCATATGCCTCACAATCCTAGCAAGCTGCACAAATCCTCTACATTTATACCAAATGCTTATATCCAGGATTAGCAGTTTAGAGCAGCAGAGTAAAGCTCAATTTTTATATGTGAGTGAAACAGAGAATTAGTATTATTTTATTAAGTGAATGTGCTTTTAAATGGATGAGGTATGGATCATACCGATGAGCTGACAGCTGTTATTATAAATATATTTGTGCTGTGTTTCTCTTGGCAGATCATTGTGCGGTGATACACCCTCCGTGCATGCAGAAAAGAAAGACATGTTAATCTTTTCCGGCTCTAAGAGTAGCAAATAACAGACTTTCAAGTTGAAGCCGCCGTATGGTAGAATGAGTCAGTGTCCACCAGAACTCCTAGAAAACAGACACCTTACCAGGACAAGACAGGGAACTCATAGCCAGATATGTGATGCTTCCTGCATAAAAAAGACAAGCAGGAGCTTTTTAAGGGTTGTAATAAAGGGTGATTAGTGGGATAAATCCCGCTATCCTTTTAAATTGTGAACTGTAAATGGATGTGAATTACGGACTACTTTTGGTCTAGAGTCTAAGGTTCTTCAGTGTCATGATCTTATGTTCAATCCAGTTGTGACCTTTGTGATCTAGATCATGATAAGTCAACAGGAAGAACTCTAGCTAATGTTCACCATCTCCCAATACTCTCAGACTATGATTGCTGGGAGGTGATTGGCCTTGTGCACCAGGTGCCTTTATCTTTCTATATCTGTTACCAAAAATGTTCTCTGTTTTATATCTGCAATGTCACAGTGCAGGGCACACTTCAATTAGTAGAGTTTCTCTCTGTTTGATTAAAGGGAACAGAGGTTCACTGTATGAGATCAGCTGTTAAATGAGTTGTGTTTTCAAGACCATGAAGAACAGCTGTTTTTGAAGTACTGTGCTGTTAATATACCACATAGGACATGCCTCCTGACCTATCTCCTTCCTCCTCTTAATTGGCGTCAGCCTATTATTACAATATTTATAAAAATACATATGCTGCACATTTCAGTGAAAGGGAGTATTGGTAATAATGTAGAAGAGCTGGTGTGTGTACACATTCTAGAGTTGAATAGGTGGTCCAGAGCAGTAATTGTTAACCTTGCACTGCAAATATTTGTGATTTACCATGATGCCCAGTCAGCCTCACAAGCATATGCATTGTCAAGATTATCCTCCGCTGGTCTGGGACTGGCTCTGATTATTAACAAAAAAAATGGATCCTGCTATTAAACAGTTTTAATTTCACTCCGGCCACTTGACTACGACTCCCGGCCACAGCTGAGATACACAAGGAGTAATCTATGCTATACTTTGTGGCTGAGTGTCTCCCATCTAGATAAGCTAAAATGATCCAATATCAGAAGAGCACCATTTATCCTCAATGTCCTCTAGTCTAATTCAAAATCCAGGTAATGGCCCCGGGCAAGGTCTCACATTTTTATAGTAATATAAATGACAGCATGGATTTGTGTCACTTGGAACAGGTATTTCTGGCCTGAAATATTGGTTTCTCTGGGCTATACAGATTGCGTACAATGTTATTAACTTCCTCTATTGTGTGCAATACGATACAATGATTAGCCATGCAGGGAAATATAGTCCGGAACGCTGTATATCATATCAGGCTACCCAATTAGATATTTTAAATCCATTTTCTAGCAAGTTATTACTTGAATCACAGATATCTCTCTCATCTCTCCCAGTAACACAGGAAATAGAATTTATGGGAATTTTTTTTCCTGTCATTCTTTTATCCAATATTTATAGTCCATTATCTGCGATGTGCATTACTGATTATTGTGTTGTAATATAGAGCGTAAACCAGGTATTTGTATTTATATGTGCATGCGTGGGTGTGTGTGTGTGTATATTCTCAACACTAGTTTTTCCGATGTTTAAAAATGATAAATTGGTTCTGACAGTTTAATCTCGTTAGTAATGGATTTAATATGTTCGCTTTTGCATTTAATAACAGAGAACACAAGTTAGTTTGAATTGTTTGACGAATATAATAACCACTTTGATCAGAGCGATGATGCCATCATTGGTGCTGAAGTAGATCTAGAACAAGCCATTCCAGGTGGATCAGTCTGATAAAAAGAATAGGTTCCTTGTGTTATGACACAAGCTTGGGATCCTGTATCAGGTGCATTTGGGCACAGGGGCTGTTGTGGGTGCAGGAAGAGGTAAGGGCTGTTGTGCGTGATGTTGTGGATGCACAGAAGGTTTGGGTGCAGTAATGGTTGCAGGGGTAAATGGAGTGCAGGGGACCATAAGGGCAGTAGTGGCATATAGGCTGTTGTGGGTTTAGGGGGGACAGGGATGTTGTGAATGTAAAGAGGGTGCAAGAGGGGCATAGGGAATGTAGTGGGTTCAGTTGGATAGGGGCTGTAGTCAGGGGCGGACTGAGAGCCTTTGGGGCCCCCGGGCAAAATTAGATCCCAGGCCCTTTGAAGGCCAAATATACGTGCATTAAATAAATGTTAAATATAACTCATAATACGGCATTCCTTTGGATGTGTATATTGTGAAGACCTGTGTATCAATGCATGTTTGTATTTGAGTCTGTGTGAATGCACTTGTGCATGTCTGGATGACTACATGTGATTTTTTGTATATAGTGTCTGTGTGAATGCATATGTGACAGGTGACAGAGTGTGTGAGGGAGAAGGTGACAGATGGAAGAGTGTGGGAGGTTGTGACAGGTGGCAGAGTGAGGGGGTACCTGGTGGCAGAGTGAGGGAAGGAGGGGTTGAGTGGTGGCAGAGTGAGGGGGAGACACAGTGAGTGGGGGTGACTGGTGACAGAGGGAGGGAGAGGGGGTGACTAGTGTCAGAGTTAGGGAATGGGTGACTAGTGGCAGAGTGGGGGAGGGAGGGAAGAGATGACTAGTGGCAAAGTGAGGGAGGGAAGAGGTGACTGGTGACAGAGTGAGGGGATGACTGGTGACAGAGGGAGGGAATGACTAGTGACAGAGGGAAGGAATGACTAGTGATAGAGGGAGGGAGTGACTAGTGACAGAGTGAGTGAGGGAGTGGGTGACTAGTGACAGAGTGAGGAAGGGGTGACACAATGACAGAGTGAGGGAGGGGGTGACTAGTGACAGAGTAAAGGAGGTGGTGACTGTCACTAGTCACACCGTCCCTCACTCTGTCACTAGAGTGAGGGGGTGACAGGTGACAGAGTGAGGGAAGGGGTGACTAGTGGCAGAGTGAGGGGATGACTGGTGCAGAGTGAGGGAGGTGGTGACTAGTGGCAGAGTGAGGGAGGTGGTGACTGTCACTAGTCACCACCTCCCTCACTTTGTCCCTAGTCACTCCTCCCTCTGTCACTAGTCACACCCTCCCTCACTCTGTCACTAGAGTGAGGGGGTGACTAGTGACAGAGTGAGGGGGTAACAGGTGACAGAGTGAGGGAAGGGGTGACTAGTGACAGAATGAGGAAGGGTGTGACACAGTGACACAGTGAGGGAGGGTGGGACTAGTGACAGTAAGGAAGAGGATGACTAGTGACAGAGTGAGAGAGGGGGTGACTAGTGACAGAGTGAGGGAGAGAGTGGGTGACTAGTGACAGAGTGAGGAAGGGGGTGACACAATGGCAGAGTGAGGGAGGGGGTGACTAGTGACAGAGTGAAGGAGGTGGTGACTGTCACTAGTCACCTCATCCCTCCCTCTGTCACTAGTCACCCCCCCTCTTTCTCTGTCACTAGTCACACCGTCCCTCACTCTTTCACTAGAGTGAGGGGGTGACAGGTGACAGAGGGAGGGAAGGGGTGACTAGTGGCAGAGTGAGGGGATGACTGGTGACAGAGTGAGGGGATGACTGGTGACAGAGTGAGGGAGGTGGTGACTGTCACTAGTCACCACCTCCCTCACTTTGTCCCTAGTCACTCCTCCCTCTGTCACTAGTCACACCCTCCCTCACTCTGTCACTAGAGTGAGGGGGTGACTAGTGACAGAGTGAGGGAAGGAAGAGGTGACTAGTGACAGAGTGAGGAAGGGGGTGACACAGTGACAGAGTGAGGGAGGGAGTGACAGTGACAGAGTGAAGGAGGTGGTGACTGTCACTAGTCACCGCATCCCTCCCTCTGTCACTAATCACCACCTCCCTCACTCTGTCACTAGTCACCCCTTCCCTCCCTCACTCTGTCACTAGTCACCCCCTCCCTCTCTCTGCCACTAGTCACACCCTCCCTCACTCTGTCACTAGAGTGAGGGGGTGACTAGTGACAGAGTGAGGGGGTGACTAGTGACAGAGTGAGGCGGTGACAGAGTGAGGGAAGGGGTAACTAGTGGCAGAGTGAGGGAAGGAAGGGGTGACTAGTGACAGAGTGAGGGGATGACTGGTGACAGAGAGGGAGGTGGTGACTGTCACTAGTCACCACCTCCCTCACTCTGTCCCTAGTCACCCCTCCCTCTGTCACTAGTCACCCCCTTCCTCACTCTGTAACTAGTCACCCCTTCCCTCCCTAACTCTGTCACTAGTCACCCCCTCCCTCACTCTGTCACTAGAGTGAGGGGGTGACTAGTGGCAGAGTGAGAAAGGAAGGGGTGACTAGTGACAGAGTGAGGGAGGTGGTGACTGTCACTAGTCTCCACCTCCCTCACTCTGTCACTAGTCACCACCTCCCTCACTCTGTCACTAGTCCCTCCCTCTTTCTGTCACTAGTCACCCCCTCCGTCCCTTACTCTGTCACTAGTCACCCCCTAACTCACTATGTCACCAGTCATCCGCTCACTCTGTCACCAGTCATCCCTTCCTTCCCTCACTCTGCCACTAGTCACCCCTTCCCTCACTCTGTCACTAGTCATTCCCTCACTCTAGTGACAGAGTGAGGGAGGGTGTGACTAGTGACAGAGTGAGGGAGAGGTGACTAGTGACAGAGTGAGGGAGGGGTGACTAGTGACGGGGGTGACTAGTGAGGGAGGGTGTGACTAGTGACAGAATGAGGGAGAGGGTGACTAGTGACAGAATGAGGGAGAGGGTGACTAGTGACAGCAGGAGGGAGATGGTGACTAGTGACAGAGTGAGGGAGGTGGTGACTGTCACATCACCCCATCCCTCCCTCTGTCACTAGTCACTCCCTCCCTAACTCTGTCACTAGTCATCCCTTCACTCTGTCACTAGTCACCTCCTCCCTCTGTCACTAGTCACCTCCTCCCTCTGTCACTGTCACCCCATTCCTCCCTCTGTCACTAGTCATCCCCTCCCTTACTCTGTAACTAGTCACCCCGTCCCTCACTCTGTCACTAGTCACCCCCTCCCTCACTCTAGCAACAGAGTGAGGAGGGGTGACTAGTGACACGGGGGGGTGACTAGTGACAGTGGGGGGGTGACTAGTGACAGTGGGGGGAGGTGACTAGTGACAGTGGGGGGGGTGACTAGTGACAGTGGGGGGTGATTAGTGACAGTGGGGGGGTGACTAGTGACAGTGGGGGGTGATTAGTGACAGTGGGGGTGACTAGTGACAGTGAGGGGAGGTGACTAGTGACAGTGGGAGGGTGATTAGTGACAGTGGGGGGTGATTAGTGACAGTGGGGGGGTGACTAGTGACAGTGGGGTGATTAGTGACAGTGGGGGGCATCGGGAAGTATTGCGGGGGTGATATGACAGTGATTAGTGACAGTGATTAGTGACAGGAGTCATTGCTCTCCACTGGGGTCGCCCCTCGGGTGATCAGTGACAGTGGGGGGTGATTAGTGCACAGTGGGGGGTGATTAGTGACAGTGGGTGACTAGTGACAGTGAGGGGGGTGATTAGTGACAGTGGGGGGGTAATTAGTGACAGTGAGGGGAGGTGATTAGTGACAGTGGGGGGGTAATTAGTGACAGTGAGGGGAGGTGATTAGTGACAGTGGGGGGGTAATTAGTGACAGTGGGGGGGGAAGAGGGGTACCTAGTGCCTACCTGTCTCTCTGCTCCTTGTGGTCTCCCCGCTGCTCCTTCCCCTCACTGGGCTCTGTGTGTGAGAGGAGTAAACAGGAAGTGAGTTCACTTCCTGTCCCACCTCTCCCATCACACGAGCACCGCGGGACTGGAAGCAGGAGACCTGGCAGAGAGGGAGAGGAGGTGAAGCTGCCAGGTCTCATGGGAGGAGGGAGGGGGGGTGAATTTAGAGAGCGGTAGGTTGTGGGGCCCCGTGCTGCATCAGGGGCCCCACAACCTATCATTTAAATAGTTTTATTTATTTTTTCGTTCCAGCTGGAGAGATCTCTGATCTGATCTCTCCAGCTGGAGCATGGCTGTGCGGCCGGGCCCCTGACTGTCTCGGGCCCTCGGTCCGTGACCGATATGCCCGAGTGGTCAGTCCGCCCCTGGGCGGGGCTATTAGAAGCCAGGGACTTTACTTAACAATGAATGAAAGAACATTGCCAGGAGACTCCAGGCACTATAACCAAATCAGTTACATGAAATGGTTATAGTGCCTACAATGTTCCTTTAAGTGTTGGCTTGTCCAAGCTCTATCATCTAGAACTCAAGCTCACATTAACTAATTTCATCCTGGTTGTAGGATCAAATTAAATTTTCCTGTGAATTACAGTCCACACAAACAATTAGGGACTCGTGAAAACTAGCAGAATTAAGCTGGAAGAGTTATTTCTGTTTTTAGAAAAAATGTCTACACATTTTTTTTTTCTTTCTAAATCTATGCCCTGTTCTGTGAAATGTCCCACAGTCAGAACTTTGTAATGTACAAAAGTATAAAAGTTCAATAATGATGAATAATGAAAAGTTCAATAATGAATTCTCATTGTTCATCCCACCACCTATGGATACATGTATAATATCCATATATGAATGTAAAGTTTTTGGGCAGCACAGTTGGAAGTTTCCTGATGTGCTTTTATGAGGGAAAAGGCTGGATTCAGAGAAGTAGATCTGCCAGAGGGAGTCTGGAAAGGATGTGAAAACGTATACTTATAAAATCAGATCGAGACAGAACATCCTGGATGTAAGTCATTGCTAGAAGTAGCCAGGGGCTGAGAGACACTGAGAAACATACAAGAATTTCAATTGAGAACTGCAGGGTAGAACACAAATTCTCTGCAATGCACAAAGGGTTTTCAGATATAAAATAATATAGTTCCGATAATTAAATACAGAATATGTCTATTGTATTCCATTTATTAAGAAGTCCTTAATGATGTTAGGCATTTTAATCTGTATTCATAACACTATAGAGCTCTCTGACCCCCGAACTCCCCACCGCCACCCATGGCCAATAAAGGGTAAAAAAACATATTTACTTACCCGATTCCAGTGCCGATGTCCCTCATCGCTGAAACAGTGCTCCGCTTCCTCCAACGGCATCTGAAGGGGGGACCTAATGCGCATGCATGGCGAGCACGCCCATAGCCCTGCCCATAAGAAAGCATTGCCTCAGTGCAGAGCGTGAGGAGGTCCAGCATCAGGTGACCTAGAGTCCGGTAACCACCTGGAAGCACCTCTTGTGGCTGTCTGACAGACATATAAAGAGATTGTCTTAGTGTTCCAATGTAAATATAGCAGTTTATCAAAAACTGCATTGTTTTATATTGCAGGACTAGGTGGGACAGGAACACTGCACCCAGACCACTTCATTAAGCTGAAGTGGTTTAGGTGCCTATAGTGTCCCATTAAGTCCAAAATAGCCAAACTGTAAACATTCTCCAAGACTACTATGCTTTCAGTTTAACTATTACATGTCGTGAGAATATTTAAATTACCTGCAAAAGAATTATTTAATTATATTAGAATCAAACATTTTTTCTTAGTAAATTCTATATCTGACTCAAATATATGGGATGATATTTTTGATATATCATCACCAAAACATTTAGTTTAAAAAATTTCAAATATTCTTGTTAACTCAAACATAATCGAACTATAAACCTAAAGCTTTTCAAAAATGGGAAATTGATTTAAATTTGTCATTTTCAACTCAGACTTGGCATCAATCCTGGAATAGGACTAGGAAAGCAGTTAATTGTATTATTCCCCACAAACAGTTTTATAAGTTGGCTCACAGATGGTATGCTGTTCCCACTCGTATAGCTAAATTCTAAATAAACTCCAGTGATTTATGCTGGAGATGTCAACAATTCCATATTTGGTGGGAGTGTTCATACCTGGATAGGTTCAAAAGTAAAATATCATAAATTATTACAGATATAATGGATGTTTCCTATATAATAACTCCTCAGACTTTTCTCTTGCATTTAGACTTCCCAGTGACAGATAAATATACCATATTTCTCATAAAAAATATACTACTGACCTATAACACAAATTGTTTCATCATGGCCTGAGACTGAAGCTCAAATTAAGTTTCAATCATCCTCAGAGAAATACTTTAATAGAGATGTTTCGACAAAAGCATTATACAACATCATTTGGTCAAAATAGTCTGCAATATAAACTAAATTCAAAGCTTTATTTCCTGCGAGAACTATATTTAGTAAAACTTTTGATACTACAGAATCCTCCAAAAATATATTAGTTGAAGCACACCATGTTTCGAAATACCAGAGACAATAAAATAAGTTGACTGATTTGTGCTATTGAATGAAGGTATATACAGGCATTTCCCGGGTTATGAACTCCCGCTTTACGTTTCCCCGCCTTTACGAACGCTATCCAGACGTGCTGCTATTTTCTTTTGCCGATATTTTGTTTCAGCGCTCCGTGGATGCAGACCGAGGAGCATGCTTGGGAGCATAGAAAAGAAGAATTTGTGGCCAGGAGAAGACAAAAATAGAGAAAGGTTAGTGTAAAAAACAGGTTTGTGTGTGGCTGAGATTGATGTCTGTGTGTGTGGAATGGCAGGACAGGCCCCCGAAAAATGGGTCTGGAATTATACAGTAATTTATAAGGACTTACATTTTTTCTATCATCAAAAAACACGAGGACTAATAATGCAAATAATTGTGACTCAGAGCAAAGTTTCGTCATTATTTACATGTCCTACTCATGTCTTCAAGCGACATGATTGTTTGAACAATCTTCCCCTACTGTTGAATACAGTATTGATCTCAGACTGTGCAGGGGGTTGCCATTATTTATTATAATGAAAAGCATTAGGATTAGTCATTAGTCATTAATCAGGATGATGATACTGTGCTGTCCTCTGCATTTCAGAAAACCTGGGGTTTATATTCATCACTGGCAGTGAAGGGAATACGATATTTTTTTTTTTTTTTTTTATTATTTTGTACTTTATTATTACTGTACTTGGTGCTATAATGACCCAGGCTACACAAGTGTACCTTGTGATTCATTGTTAGGAACAGTTAGCGTAGTTTGGGCTGTTTTGTATTATGGAGTACTCACCTGAAGGTGCTGTGAACTGTAACAGCCAACTCAAGGTACACCTGAAACTCTACTAGTGTACATAGACAGACAGAGTTGGAAACAGAAATTGAGAAATGAAAGCCAACATATATTTGCTATGCTTTTATTTTGTATTTGTACTTAATAATTTAGGTTTTCAATGGTAAAACTTCTTGGTCAGCAACGAAACCCATGTTTATTACATTGCGATCTATGAGAAATTAGTTCTCACTTTATGAACTCTCACTTTATGAACTAGGCTGCGGAACCAATTAGTTTGTAAAGTCGGGAACTACCTGTATATTTTTGTTGTTGTCGTTGTTGTGTTCCCTACTTCTTCTCTGATACAGAATGAAAAATTCTATGATATACACAGTGTGTCGTAATATGTATATGAGTTGAAAAACGAGATTAAGAGAAAGGAGAAAAGGGGAGGGGGAAATTTTAGTTTTATAGATTTAATCACTCTTGGTTTATAAAATAAGGTATTACAGAATGTAACGTACACTTAAGAAATCAAACTCAAGAAATAGAACGGGACACTTATTAAATAATATACAAAATTTAAAGTGATTAAGGCATTTGCTTGTGCCAATCAGACTATTTCAGTTAGAAGTTTGTTGTGCAAAAACCATTAGACTATTGAAAAAAAAAAAAGGGACATTTGATTATTTAAACCATATTTGTATTTCATTTGATTGCAATTCAGCTATTAATACCAACCAGTTCTCTATATGTGTTTGTGATTCAGCGATTTACAAACTGCTTAATTAATCCTCTTTATTAATTTGATCAAATTCGACAAACAAAGAGTAGCGTAATTACTCTAGGTCTGTGTTTCACAACATTTTACAGAGAAGTACCCGTGTAATTATAAAAAAAAATCCCAAGTACCCCTGACTCGAGAAAGTAATTTCTATT